ATGATGTACAAGGTCTCAGTGCTAACATCTGACGCTCGTGAAAATAGATTAAAACTTCACTACGCACCTATTCCATCTTACACAATAATAATATATGCACCGAGTGGTTCTTTGACACTTAACATCTAAATATTAATAGCAAAAACCCGTCCTTCTAAAACGGGACATGTCTAAACACAATGTATCAATGTTTGGAACCCATACGAATGCATAAATAATGCAGGTTGTCACAGAAAACAGGATTTATTACTTTAGATTACACTTACTCCATGACACTTGTAGATTTTCAGTGATACAAGTTTCAATAATCCGACATTTGAAAGATGGCCATAGTTAATAGGTATTTTGTTACTTAAGTAGTTAGTGACAGTTTTGTAGACGATTACGTACATACACACAGAAATTTAAGGTGTAGCCCAATTCTACATCGGACTGACGCAATTTTCTGCGAAATTATTTAAACATCTCTTATATGTACGAGTATGTGGTTACTTACTGCAACGCAAATGGTAACCTGCAAACTAAGAAAATGGGATGGGTATGTTATGCAGACAACAATAATGCTGATTTACACACTAGAACTGTGCGGTATCAAAGGATCAGAAATAATAGAAATTCAAATTGTCGGGTCCGTTAACTTGCCCCCCCCCACCCAACTGAAAGATTTGATAGTCGTATTATTTTAAAATGAATGCGCTCATATGCGCCATCGATAATAACTCTTGCGGCATTATCGTTTTTTAGAAATCCGAAAAAACATTCGGGGAGGGGGGGGGGCAAGTGAACGTAGCCCCCCCCCCGTACGTATTTTGTCCCTTGTAACCAGGTCACCTGATACACTTGGTTATGCGCTCAATTGCGCCACTTGAATTAAAGCTAGCGCCATTACGGTTAAGCCGTGACAAATTTTCAAAAAGTGGGGGGGCCAACAACGTTTTTAAAAGTTACTTTTTTTAACATCTTTTCATACGAAATGGTACTCTCTGGTATGCGCTGAAATGCGCCGTAAAAAGATATCTTTGCGCCATTCTTGTTTTTTGGTTATCCTTAAATATATTTGGGAGGGGCCAAGTGAACGGAACCCCCCATAACGCATTTTGCTACCGGTATTTGTGCCACGCGATACATCTGGTTATGCGCTCAATTGCGCCACTTGAATTAAAGCTAGCGCCATTACGGTTGTCATAAAAAATTTTTAAAAAGTGGGGGGGGCCAACTTAACGTTTTCAAAAGTTACGTTTTTTAACATGTTTTTTCTACTACATCGTACCTTTCATCATGCGCTAAAATGCGCCGTAAACAAAAATCTTTGCGCCATTATAGTGTTTCAGAAACACTATGCAGGTTGTTTTTTTGGGAGCTTTAGTTAAACGTTTCTGGGAAAGTAAAATAGGTAGGTTTTTAAAAATTGTACGAAGGCCGAATCGATGTAAAATATTTCCAAAATGGACGCACTTCCGGAAATACCGGAAGTGGCTAGTAACTTCGTTATTTTAAATGGCAACCCCTATTTTTTATGACATTTTTGGATTCTACGTGAAATTTCAGTTCTTTTGATATCCACATGTCTATATCTACCATTTTATGGTTTTTAAGTTATTTTGACTTTAATAAAAGAAATGGCGGATGCAGATGGTACTTTGATAAATAATTGATTACTTGAAAACGGTTGTAGTCATAGCAACCCATTATCAGTGCATAGAGAATGAATAGGGCTTTCATTTAGTGTACTTAAAAAAAAGTTAAGTTGCGGACAACCGCACCTATGGAGATCCAAAGTTATGAAACTTCAAAGACTAAAAACTCAGGTTTTTTTTAATTGAATCACCATTTTCTTACTATTACTATTACTACTATTAACAGACGATCAAATCAAATAACACTAACATCCATCGTCTTAATAGTATCTTTGACTTCTCCGCATTCCCATTAGCATTACTTTTACTTTTACTCGAGGTGCGTACATACAATTTCATTTAAATATCTTAACAAATACCAAAATTAGATTGCGCATGCGCAATATTATTTTTTCATCTTCAAAATTGTTTGAGGTTTAATGAATATTTACTGACACAGAAAACCGGGCATTTATATGTTCTTTGTAACAAGAATTTATTATAAAAGATACCGTTCTTTGAAGGTTCGAGCAGTTTTTGGGCTGTAACTGTTTGGCCCGTTAGTTTACGTAACTAAAAATCAATAGCGACCTTTCTTATATCCTTAAGAACATGTGTACCAATTTTCAAAGCGACCGGACGTTTCTAAACGAAATTATCGTGCACAGGCAGACGGGCAGACATACAGCAGTACAAAATTATAAACGATCTCGAGGATCGTTAATACATGAACTACATTGCGGCATAATGCATTAACTCCAAACTAAGTATGTTAATACCTATGAGTTATTGGCGATTATTGCAAACCGAGTTAAAATTGCACAATTAGAACATAACTTCACCGCATACCCAAATAATACTGCATTGTCTGCATTCATTATAAGAAGGTACAAAATTTGGAAAATATAATTATAAATCAAACGATATCACGCTTGGATCTTTGAAATTGACAGCTAATGACAGTTCGACAGTTTAGTTCGTAATTGAAACTTCTAACAGACAGAATTCGTCACTCGTTTTATTTTTCAGGGTAATAGTGACTCGTGTTTTAACCAATCACAGTGAAGGTTAAACTGTCCCTATGCTTTCTACAGCTACCTTCTTAAAATGAATAGCGTTATACTTCTATTATAGGTTCTCAAAAACTATAATGGCGCAAACGTTTATGTTTACGGCGCATTTTAGCGCATGACAAAAGGTACGTTGTAGTAGAAAAAGCATGTTAAAAAACATAACTTTTGAAAAAATTGAATTAGCCCCCCCCCACTTTTTAAAAATTTTTTATGGCTTAACCGTAATGGCGCTAGCTTTAATTCAAGTGGCGCAATTGAGCGCATAACCAAATGTATCAGGTGACCTAGTTACAAGCGACAAAATACGTACTGGGGGGGCTACGTTCACTTGGCCCCCCCAAATGTTTTTTCGGATTTCTAAAAAACGATAATGGCGCAAGAGTTATTATCGGTGGCGCATATGAGCGCATAACGAGCGCATTCATTTTAAAATAATACGACTATCAAATCTCTCAGTGGGGGGGCCAAGTTAACGGACCCCAAATTGTCACTCATGTTGGATTTGAGAGCAAAGATTCGCAGCAGAAACTGTTCAGTTGTGTTCAGCGGGGTCCAAAGATATCAATTTTATCTACTCATTTGGTTCTAGGGGTCACTCTTGAGAATTTCTGCCTTGTAGCACAAAATTGGGTTAACTTAAGCTTGAAATTATAACATAATACCGTAAATAAACATCAAGCATACCTTATCAACTCTCGTACTCTTTTAAACTTTTGTCTTATCGAATTGAAATCCAATTGAATTGTCCAAAAAAAGGTTGACGAAAGGGGTTACAAAGAACCAAATTGTGAATTTTAATGTAAATGACAAGTGAAATGTTTTTGAAAAGATACCCCAAAGCAAATTTTATTTCATAGCATATGATACATTGACACTTTAATAGATTTTTTGTCAGAAACTTTACAACGGCTTATATGGCTTCTGCTACAAAATAAAGTTTTGTCTCATACACGACGATAAAGGGAAACTAACCATCTCGTAAAAATTAATTCACTAATCGTGGATTAACATATTTCACTCATTGGTTAAAATATCCCTTTATCGTCTTATATAATAAATAACTATTATAAAGCAAACGAGACAGACGCATTACTTTCAGAATTTGCTTAAATGTAGCCTTACTCAATATGTAAACAAAAATTTATACAGATTGCTGATGAATTCATGTAAAATTTATCAGTTATCAAAATGCCAAAACTTAATTTTTTAAAGGAAACCCCTTTTTTTTCTATTTATCATCTACATTGAAAAATGTAGTCCTTAATTGCATCTGTTGTAAAAGGTGGAACGTAATAGTATATTATATACGGGAGGAAGGGTGTGTGTTTGAATCCCGAGGGATTTACTTTAGTCCTGTGGTATATATGCTATTTTTTGTACTCCGGTAATCAGATACAGCAATTGCAATGATAAAGTTCAAATTTGAAATAAGACAATTTGTTTGATTGTAGAATCAATACCTCGCCGTGTCAAACAATGAGTATCTTCTATAGTTTTCGAGATCCCCATGATCCTTCTCTTGGACACAGTGTATTCTAATATCTTTCATTGAAAAATCAACTCTAACCAAATTAATTTTTTGTCAATGTAACCATTTAAACTTTGGTTTGCGCCACCCTTTAAAGTAGTAAATGCTGACAAGACCAAAAATGGAACAACAAGAATGATTAAGGCAATGATCCAGAAAGATAAGAAATCTGACGGATACGGGTAAATGGCATTGTTACCAAAGTAAATATGTAAATCTTGCTTGTTTCAACGGTCAATTATTTACGAATAAGAATAAAGTCAAACATTATAATCTGAAACTATTAGTAGGGTAGGAAAACTTCGCGCCTACGTTATACGTTACCATTACAAAAGTCACTAAAACACGCAGGGGTCGTTCTTTCTTGTGAATTATTAATTTATTAACTTCTTCGAGTGATTAATTTCAAGAAAAAGGATATTTCTTGTGTAACATACGCCTGTGTTAACGTAATCCACGTGGGGAAAAAGGGATTTTCACGATCTTTTGATTTCCCCGAATTTACGCAATTAATGACCATTTATTTCGCAAAAACTACGGTTCCATGAAATTATGGAGCACCCTTTCTTTTCCTTTCTATTTCGAATTTATTTTACTATAACGGGTACCGCGTCACGTTAAATGCATTAACACGATTTTTTGCATTTTTACGTGCAAATTAATTATATAGCGTTTGAAAGAATGATCATCGTTACATCTCGATTATTAACCTTGCATGTCTAAAATAAGTAGGCGACTATTATCTCTGAATCTGCGTTATCGATAGTACCCACCTAAACATGATGTGGGTACTGGGTAGCCCCCATAGAGACTTGGTTAATACAATTTTCTTTCACAGTTCTCTGTGCACTCGAACTTCCACCTGCACCTTCTATATAACTGTTTCGCGAGTTTCTAACCATTCATTCATTTACCAACATTGGTGACCGACATTTTCCAACTTGAACACTTCGATCAATTTTGGAAATTTTATTTGTGCACCTCGTGTATTTTGTTAACTTTGTGAAAATGTCTAAGGATTTATCGGGATCAGGTATTTATTACACTTTCACATTTTGACAAGTTTTGATTGAGCCAGTTCAGAAACAATGGAAAAATAATAAAAATAAATTTATTGGTAAAAATGCGCCCAACTCTTCCTCTGCTTTATGCACTTTGCGTGAGCTTGACCTTATGTAAATTCAATGCCAGTCAGAAATTACATCACAAGTTCGTTAGGTAAACAATATTCACCTGTATACTTACATTCATTCACGCATAAGAAAGTGATTTTAACTAGTTTAAACTTAGGAGGACTCGGTTTTTTAGGATGTAGGTACTTTTGGAGATGTAAATTTAGTTTTTTGTGTTGAAGTATAATTTTGTTATTCAAACATCTTTTTCCCACGGTTTCTAAGCTCAGTTGTTTTGCAAAATTCATCTTAAAATTTGCCTACTGTAAACCGGCACCGATTCTTCTGATAACGATAACGATTGTAGAACAAGATAATCTGTAAGTAGTGTTTGCAACAACCGTTACATGCAATATAAATTTAGGTTATGAACGTGTATACTACTTACTACTTTTACGATACAAAATCTAACCGGCATTTATTAAAAAGGCGAAAGAAAGGGCAATGAAATGAAACCGCGTATATTATTTACAAGCGGCTGATGCGTTTAACAATTATTGCAAATAAATAATTGATTCCCAGACACTAAAATTATAATATAAAACATTAACATGAAGATGTTTTATTTTGACCTTCTCAATCTGGTCACGTCTTCATAATGTCTTTGCGTGATAAATAACATCTTTCAATCTACATTTCATTATGCTAATTACCAGTTCGTTCAAGATTTTTTAATCCATTACTGATTATAATTCTTCTCACTAAAATTGTGCAAGGGCAACATCAAACTAGTATTTTGCAGTTTTAATCTAATTTTAATTACGAATGCCACCTCATCGTGTCAAGGTATATTACGTTTTTCTGGACATATTTGTAAATGACAATTCTACATTGCGTGCAAAAATACAACTAGTAAAAGTGAAAAACGAATAATTATGGTACAGGGAGAGCCGGACGCATCTAAAACCATCAATTGGAAATGGATTGTCCCCCCACCATTAATTAAATTATCAGATCATGACACAATGATTGATACTTATTGCACGCAGTTTTCAGTGCAGTGCGAGAAAGAAAAATTTACTGTGGTGCTATGTTAGACGATTTCTTTGGGGGTATGAAATTAATTCAATGAAGAAGGTTCCCAATTTTACAAACACTCCATTTCCTGTCAATTACTCTTATGTATTTTTAAAGTTTTCCGGGCCATTTAATATCGCCAATCTAGATTTTGAAAAAAACGTTGGCTTACTTTCATTTAGCACTTTCATTTTGATTTGTTTAATTGTAATTGATTATTTATCTGTAACATCTTCTGCTTTGGACTTTAAATGTCACAATTGAACAAGAAAAAGTAGTAGTCGAATTAATTTCACTTTGTATGTAAGTGCGAATCTCTTTGAATGGTATTTATTCAGTTAGTCTAAACTAAAATTCTCGCACGAATTTTGGCCTGTAAAAGAGTTCAATTTAAAAATGAAAGTTTTGTGCTATTCTAATATAATAAGTAATAATTAGCTCCAACATAAATAATTCATAAATCGTTTGTTTATTTTACATACACCTGAGATACTTGATGGAGGATGCCTTTTATGCGTGCTTGCCCTTGGGATAAGAGATACCAAATTGGTCAAGTTGAGGAAAGGGGTGACCATTGAACACACAACAGTTCTCATAAGAAATGATTCAAAATACGCGATTTCCATAGATATTATTAGAGTTTCTTAAAAGGAAATTGAATATTTGTAGGGTAGTTTCCATTTTGGCGCAGTGTGGCTTTTTTATCTTATAATTTTGAACTTTTTTGCAACAGGGTGTATCGGGTAACCAAATAAGAATGGCAAGGGCTGTATCTCAGAAAATAACAGAGTAGTTTTTAAGTAAATTTCGGTATGTAAATATTGCCCTCATTGACTTATATATAAATATAAGAAGGTGGGAAGCTTAAACGTGGCCACTTTACAAATTACTCTTTCATTTCATTGGTGGCAATGCCAAATGTGGCGTTAACTTGTCAATAATTTACCTATAAATATCCCTAAATAATTTAAAAATTATCAGTAAACACCTATAGGCATTTACAACACAAAACATATATTTAATAAAAGTGTGTAGTATACAGCGAACGACCCATGATGGAACAAACATACATACAAAACACTGTTAAGCAACGGAATATAGAATTATAAATAAAATGTATATCAAATTTAAACATAAAATTGACAAGTATCATATTATATTAGACAAGATATATTATCACAGTTCAATTCTTAATATGCTTTTTTGAATAATAATTCTTTTAATTTATTTTTTAGTTGTAATATAGTGAACTATTTTATGTGTGTTGGAAGATGATTGAAAAGGTTTTGCGAAACGTATTTTCGGTCTTGGCTAATCGGTAATAATTTATCCTTATTTTAGCTCGGTATCTTGTGAAACGTTGATGTATATCGCTTTGCAATTTAAATTGATGCAGATTACCTTTGGGTACATAATACTTCCTAACAAATCTAACAAACTAATTTTTCCTGCAGTCATCCCTATATCATAGACCATTAAATATTCTTACGGAGATTGTAGGATGATTCGCCCCCGAAAATTCGCCCCGGTAATTCGCCCCTGAAAATTCGCCTCCAAGGAAACTCGACCCCAAGTAAATTCACCGCCCGACTCTTCGCCTCCGTAAGATTCGCCCTCGGCATTTCCGCACCCATAGGATTCGCCCCATAAGATTTATTAATCCTCAGAGGTAACAGGGCCAGCAGTTCATAAAATGAATTTTGTTTAATTGTTATTTGTTTAATATGTTACCAAACCAACCTATTACTTCCGAGGGTTAATAATGTTAGGGGCGAATCCTACGGGGGCGAATCTTCTAAGGGCGAATTTTTCGGAGGAGAATTTGTTGGGGGCGAATATTCCGGAGGCGAATTTACTTGGGGGGCGAATATTCCGGGGGCGAATTTACTTGGGGACGAATATTAATAATAATAGAGATGCTTCTAGTAACGGCAAACATATCGCATATTGTAAAAATCAACTGCGCAATGCCAACATTTTTATTTGCGGAGATATTTTTTTGAAATTTTAACCATATAGCTATGGCCTTTTGGATTGTACTGATCCAGGGCGATATCTTCGGAACTGAACGGAATTTCTGAATTTTCAAAACATTTTACTAATCCCTAAAATACGCAAATTGTAACCGACCGTGTATCTCTTATGGTTTCCGACGTCCCCATGCTGTTCATTCTTATCTTGGGCACACTGTATACTACATGAGTACTAGGAAATTTGTAAATCTTTGAGGAGGTTTGCAGCTTAAACTCTTCACGATTGTAGCCGTAAGTACAACAAATCATATACTTCAAACATTCTAAACAAAAAAGGGCGCTTTTGGAAGTGGGCGCGCAATATCAACTTTCTTATTTATTAATAGAATTTGTTGCAATTTTAAGCATAGATGCTTCTGATAAAGGTAAGCGTATCACATATAAATAAAAAATCAGATGTGCGTAAGCGCAGATGGAATCAGAGCTACTAGTTCAAAAGTTACAACCCTTTGAATTTTCTTTCGAAATTTGTTTCTAGTCTATAACTTTTGATTGAGAAGAAGTCTAATCGAAAAAGTACGAATTGTTTTGGATTCTACGCTCCAAAATTAATAAGAAAAAGTGTTTTCCCGAGAAATTTTGGTGTAGTCGATTTTTGGTAAAAAAGGAAGGTTATACACTGGCTTTTTTTGAGGCACGAAAAGAAAATTGTCTCAGATCGACCCGGAAAAAACATTTTCTTATAGAATGTGGCCTGTAGAATCCATAATTTCAAACAGTTCCAAGATTGGGCTACTAGTTCAAAAGTTACAGCCTTTTGAATTTTCTTCTAATTAATATTTTCCTAATTGGATTTTTGGGAAGGTGTTCTAATCTCCATTTAATCTCGTTGTATAAAGGACTTTTTGTTGTACTCTTTGACCAAAAGCACCTATTAGATGTCACCTTTTCTCCCACAGGGATGGAACAAATGACGCAATGCTTAAAAATAATAACTGGTTGCATTGAGATGTCCTGAAAACTTGTCAATGCTATACGCCGTTTCTTGCACAAGCAGCCCGTACATCATTGCAACCTTGTCTTTCCACGCAATTTTTTAGCGCATTTTTCATTCGCAAAAACGCGCCTTTTAAGCTTTTTTATAAATGGATCGAGATCTCGGCTACGAAATATCGTATAACTTTTGGGTTTTCGGTATTATATTCGTACTAGTCCCACACTACGGGCGTGTGTCCGATCGTTTAGGAGGCTTTTATAAATTTACTGAATATGTAAATAGAGGAATACCGTAGAGCCTTAGGATTTTTAGCACTATCGCTTAGTTTTCGATTGTTTGATACATTTATTATGCATAAATAGTTAGTTTAAAGGAAAAACGTTAGGTTTTAAGGAAAATGCAGGATGATGCAATAAGTAAGGGTTAAAAGTATTCCAAACAATAACAACAATACAGAATTTACGGATATTATACGAATAGATAAAAACAGGTATGATTTTACCAATAAATATAGGAAAACTGATACGTGGCCGTATCTAGTTTATTTGGAGCATTTAGATAAAAACTTTGAAAGTGATACTTTTTTTCATGAATTTGCAGTTTGATTAATGAGGGCGAAGCTCGAGTTAATCAAGCAAATTCATGGAAAAAAGACACTTTCAACACGTGTTGTACACGAAATTTTTTTCCATAGTGATCCATAATAACCCACAATTGAATAATTTCTTTGACATTTGCGATTTACTGTCACTCAAAAATGGATGCTATTGTTCAAACTCCATGGAAACGCATCGTAAAAATCGTGAAAAAGTACCAGTTTCCATACGATTTTTCGTTAAAAAAGTCCGATAATTTCATCACTATGTAAAATAGT